TACATGTCATGTGCACATATGTTGATTTTATATAACAGATTTTATTTTTCTGGGGTATCAAAGTACTATTTGGAAAAATGGGTAACTCCAAATAAAATTATAATTTTCTCCCTCCAGCAAAATCTACCAGTTATTTTTACAAAATAGGCGTTCCAACAAGTCAGCCTTATCATTAGAATAATAAAAGCTCATTTGAAATCTAAAAACCACAATCCTTTCCCTGACCAGAAAAGGCTTAATTAGTTACTTAGATTGCTAAAATAATTGTACATAGCTCCAACTATTTTTACCACCCAAAAAGAAGAAATAGGAGACTTCCCACTTTCATGCTGAGCAAAGCAGCTCAGAAATACGGGCAACCTAAAAGGTTGAATTAGCCAACAGCTCCAGTGGCAGTTTAACTGACAAAAGGCCGAATTAAACTAAGGACAAAACAGCCATGGCCATTAAAAAGGTTTGATTTATGTGGATTTCCTTCCTTTTTTAAAAAAAGAAATCAAACAAAACCAAAACCAACAAAACAATAAAACTTCGGATTTAGTTGACCACAGCTGAGAACAGATTACTCCTGCAGGTCACACAGCCACGTTGGCTGTTTTACAGTCCTGTGCCCTCCAAGTATCAAAGCCGATCTGAGCACAGCATTTGGAAGCTGCTGCTGAAGGGAAGGTTACCTGGGAAGATCTGTGTTCCACTCCAGAAAGCAATGCTTCACTGGCAGGACTTTTAACATCAGGCACCCCCAAGAAATGCAAGAGACAATGAAGCCTTTGGAAAGAAGAGAAAATGTTACAGTCAGGAAAAAATAACTGTCTTGAAGTATTTTTTCTAAGCAGGAAACTTAATCCACTTGTTTTCAAACACTGGGTCACTCACACATTTTCCCTCACATCTGAAGTTTTTTTCTCTCAAGTGAACTGAGAATAAAATAGCCCCAAAACCAACATCTGAACCCATTTAGCAAGGATGCTACTGTAAACCTGGAGATAGGAAGCTGTGAATATAAAGGTGAACATAAATGATCTGTGCTCTTCACTGACATGTACAGCAGCTGTACTTGTAAATATTTCTTCTGTTAAGATCTTCAGGAATCAGTGCATGTTGGGGTTGATAGCAAATGTTCTTTAAACCATTTCCAGATACACTCCGGCATGTCAATGAGCAGGTTAATGCTTCTCCCACGAGGCACGGGATGTACCTGATGCCGTGGTGCACATCTGAACACCACCATGTTATGGCACTGGGAAACTTCAATAAAGCAGTTTTAACACAGCTACTGTCGAAACAGTTAGCTTGGACTTATGCTGCAATTTTCTAGGTTTTTGAATAGCGAACCCAGAAACACTTTAAGAAGCATTTCACAAATAAACATGTTGAAAAGTGGCCTAATCCCATATCGCCTCCAAATCGCATATCGCCTCCACATCTAAACATAAAGAAATCTGCAACACGGGATCATCTAACCCGGCACACCCTTTCTCCCCCACAAAAAACTTTGTCAGCAGAGCACAGTGTGGTCACTACACACCCAGACGAAAGGAGCCCCCACCTCTCGGGTGAGCACGCAGGTAAGCGAACAAACACATGCGAAAAGCTTTCTGTGTATTACGGAAACAACACTCAAACCCTCCCCACCCAACGCCGGGCAGCTGCAGCCTCTCAGCCCCAGCCCGGCCCCTGCCGAAACACGCTTCCCATTCCACGGGGTCAGGCGGCCAGCAGGGGGAATTTACCTGTCCCAGCCTCACCAAAGAGTGGGATTATGGCTGTAAAACCGCTCCTCCCTTGCTCCAGCCACTCCTGCCCGACTCCCGCCTCCCCGAGCATCCCCGGCCAGGCTGGGCACCCCTTGTCCTCCCCAGGCAGCTCCCGCCCCCCGAGCGGGAGGCCGCGGGGGATGAGGGGACCCGGCGACATCGCGTGCGAAGCGGCGGCGGCGGCGGTGCCGCTCTGAGTCAGCGCCCGCCCTGCGGCCGGCCCGCGGCGGGAAGCGAAAGGGAGCGGGCGCCGGCTGATCCCGGCCGGCACGCAAGGCTCCGCTGTCCCGCCGGGCCCCTCCGCAGGGAGCGCTGCCCCCGCCGCCGCCCGCGGCATCCTTGTGCCTTTTTTTTTTCCTTACTTTTTTTCCCTCACGTACCCATGCACGCACAGCGCCCTTTTTGTGATTTTGGCGTTTAAGTTTGAAATCTGGTAAAGCTCTCTCTGCCGATAGCCCGCGGGGAAGGGCAGAGCCGTCGGAACGATGTCAGCTCTGCGCCTTAGTGCGCGTCCAGCATCTCAGCCTGCTCCTTTCGCTGTGCCTGCCTCGCATTCCTCACCAGGGGGTCAAAAACTGCGGTACTGAGACGGAATGTCTACATGTGTGTAGGTGTGAGCATCAGCCATAAGTTTCAAATATTTTACGAGACTTTTTCCAGTCCTTGCCTTCTCAAACATCCTGCGCTGGACTTTTCCGCTGCCGAAGGACTTGGTCTGCTCGTTGATAAGGGCAGCAACGACTGCTCAAAGCAGCACAGAGCCCGAGGCCTGCGTTCCCTAAGCACTAATTAGTGATTTTCCCAAGCGCTAGAGACGGGAGCTAGGAACTGTAAAAGCCATCAACAATCCAAGCCACTGAAAATGGTGCAAAGTACCCACCATAATAAATACTTTTCAAGAAAGGGCGTTTTTTTGCAGAAATCATGAACACCTGAGGGGTTATTCCCCCATCTCAGAAACAACAGAAACCTGACATTTCTTAAGATTTCATTTTAATCGACTCAGTTGAACCAGTTACACCACAAGATTTTCCAAATCTGTAAAGTGAAAGATACTTACTCAACAAGAAAGTTTCTATGACATGAATCTCACTGAAATGAATGCTTCACTAACAAAGCCTCTCCAAGAATCTTGAAGCACTCAGTGAACTGTGCAAGACACATCACTTGGGAAGTTATTTCTGTACATATTTTAAAAGAAATTACAGATTAACTTGTTTATTCCAATTAGAAATTGAGAGTAGATATTAAATACTTTAAGATTGAGATATAAAATGACCCTCTCATTACGTGTCCCATGAATTTGCCCCAGGATCCTTTTTGGGATAAAAATCTTTCTTTTCTCTACCCATCCCAGCCTGAATGCTGTCTAAGCTGCTAGTTTCTGTCGTAAAGGATGCTGGTAACATCAGGGGTAGAAGTGGCAGTGAAAGGTTGTCTACTTTGCTCTTCATAAGTTGCCCCACGTTGTAGATTGTAGCAGAGATTAACTACCTGGAAGATTTTCTACTTGTTTTTTTTTCCAAGGGTAAAAATGCATAGATAACTAACTACATGATCAGGAGATTGAGTACAAACAAACACAGAGATCTACAGTCTGATTCTGTTTTTCCCATCTGCTAAAATCAGACATCAAACAGCTGTTCAGGATTTGTCTGGCTTGGATTTTCTGAAGGTTACATTGCAAAGAAGCAAAAGGATATAATTAAGTGCCCTTAATACAATGTCAACTTTGTTACATTTTAGCACAGAATTCATACCAGCTGCTCCAGCTGTGCAGTGATGCAATACAGAAATACTACTGGGTTGCATTGCTGAAGTAACACAACAGGCTCAAAATGCAACATGAGGATCCCTATACTTTCCAAACTTTTTCCTGCTCTTTTTATACAAGTAGATTGAAAAGGCTGAAATGCTGATTTCCAGGACACCAAATTCTTTAGAGAATATTCAGGCTCTTTCATACACTCATGACTTTCACTCTTTCAGAAAGAAATAAAAAGAAAGAAATAAATTTTGAAATGCCAGAAGAACAAGCTCTATTCTGAGAAAGTTCAGAATGCTGAATTATTCCTTGGGACAAGAGAGGATTTTAGTTGCAGGGCTTCTTCTTTTAAGTGTTATATTTAGGGGAAAAAAAAAAGATTGAACAGATACATGGGAAACAAGCAGGAAGGAAGTCATTCCTATAGCAAAAGAGCTAAAGGACCTAGCTTTTTCATGTGGTAAATATTCTTATCAGCCAAAATTTCTGCTTTTCTGAACCTCCTCCTAAATACTGGTCCATTTACATAATATGTATGCATGTTTGTTCATTGCCGCCAGAGAAGCACAGACTGTCTAAGGAATATGAGCAGCAATGAATGAACCTGCGAAACAGCTCTGCAGAACTGGTGAAGCCACCACAGAAGTGGAAGAACTTGCTGCTCTGCATGGGGACACTGATTTCATTGTGATTCACACGGGAAAAAGGAACTGCTAGGACAAAGGAAATGGAAAATGAGGGGATTTTATTCCAGGCAGGTGGTTAAGTGCAAGCTTATAGCTGATCTGACTGATAATTAAAGAAACAAAACAAAACAACAAAATAATGGGCTTGCTTTAACCTATGCTACAGTCTCCCACTGTAATTTCATAAAAATTTTCTACTTGCTTCTGCTTGCTTAATGAGAAAGAAGATGGATTTCTCTGTCCAGTGTGGGCATCTGGGCTGATGAAGTTACACAGGACTGATGAGGACCTGCCAGGTCTTCATACACAGTGCTGGGCATAGGTGTCCTTCTCATAAACTGGTCAAGATAGTGAGAAATTTTCCACTCATTTCTCCTTTGGAAAAGCTCATTCAGTAGCCTCTCTGGCTGGCCAATGAAACACACTTCCAAAGTCCTATTTATGTTGATGGACAGTTCAATTTACTGGCACTTGTTTTCCAAAATTATCTGAAATCTTCAGACACATGATGCAGGTGCACCTGTTTGCTTCCTAGCTAACCAAGGAGTGTGCTCCTTGCACAATCAATTGTGGCTAATCTGAAAGATGTTCGGGTAGTGCCTCTTCCACCCAAGAAGAATATGAGCATAGTTAAAAGTGCCTGAACACTCAGGGTTTGTTAGCATTGCCTGCAAAAACTTCTTGTGAATCACAGCTACAGTCTCAGCAGAATCGGATGCCAAGGCGAGTCAGATTCCACAACAGTCAATACAAACAACAAATTTAAGGAAGTGTAACAACCAATGTTTTGTTTTAGTTTTTTTTTTTTTTTTTATTAGAGGGGCTATGACCAAGCCATTCAGGAGGAATTAATTGTCAAGATTTGGCTACAGAAGAACTCTATGATCTCTATATTGCCTTCCCCATGCCCAGCCGCTTGATTTTTTTCCGGGGAGGCTTCAGCAGATGCCTTCAGCAGATGCCTTCTATCTTTTGGTCTTTAAAGGTGGTTTCCCTCTAGTGGCATTAAGAGGAGCATCGATTCTGTCTTATTGACTGATCTTGGTCTGTAGGAGGGGCAGGGGGAAAGGACACTGCAGGGTGTTACACACTCACATCAGGAAACGCTGACTTGTCCTCATTTGGCTAATAGCCTAGGACTCTTGTGTACCACACGGTCTTTATTTTTTCAATCATCTGTTCAAACATTATACTGATTTTAGTTGCTTCTTTGGCGATTCTCTGTCTGCAGGAGACAACAGAGTATGTGGTAAGATACACAAATATGTGAGGGTAATCTCCATCTGCTGTAGTTACCACTATGCCTGTCACTGAGATTGCAGAGCTCCTCAGCAGTCCTAGAGAGGCTTTCCTCAGAAGACAGGAATAGGCAGTACACGTGTGCCATGAGTTACATGAAACTGTCTCTAGGGTGATCATGCTTTTCCTTTTGTGAAGAAAGGAAATCCTTCCTTTACCTTGAGCAAGATGTATGCACAGCTAGAGCCAGGTCTGTGATTTGCATCAAGTGATCCTGGCACACTGAGTACTCAGCCCCTCACAGAGCTGCAGCACCCTTCCAGAGGAGCTGATTCCCCCCCAGCCAGCAGCCTCCTCCCTCACTACCCATGGATAAAAAGCAGTACCTGCCATCCCTGTGAACACTGTCATGTACAATGTGCCTCCCTGGGAAGAGCTTTCACCAACAGACCATATCACATCACCCCCTCCCCACTTCCAGCACCTCGTTCCCTTGGTACATCAGGGTTTGGCTGCTGATTAATTTCCCCTCAGGTCTCCCTACAGAGATAGCTGATGAGTCTGTTCTTTCTCCCACACCTCCCTCTCCCTTTTCACACATGGCTATTGGAGTGTTAGTACAGAGCTTTCCATACCTGGCCGCAATAACTGTTGGACTCTGGATAGTATCCAACAAGAACTGGCTGACTTTAGGGGACACCTTGTTCACAGCTTCATAGAAGTAAGATGCAATAGTCTCAGGGATGGCCAGCAACTCATGACGGTCTTTCTCAAAGATGGACTTTGACTGCACTTCTGAGAAAAAAGGCAAAACCCCATGAGGCCTCTCGTGTCTCTGGTATCTTCCCCCAACTGCAGGGGAAGAGATTTGAAATTCTGAGATTCAGAACCTCTCCCAGAATTTGCTCTACAGCATTCAGCACCCTCTCTTCACCCAGTCATGGGTATCTAAGTCATAGACCTTCCATGGCAGAGTATTTGCACCAAGTATGGGCAGTTTTCATGCCAGGTCTCTACTGACTTGTTCCATGCTGCCAAGCACTGTGTATTCATGGTCTTCAATGGAATTATTTGGCTTCAGTCCTACTTCACGATGCCTGAGAACCTGTAGAGCTGAGCTTTGTCTCAGGTAAACAGCAAAGCTTTTCAGACTTACCGGGGAGAGTGGTGCTAAGGAGCAGAATCAGAGCTATCACCAATGCCCTGGATTGCAGCATGGTTTGAGTACCAGTTCTGCTCTCTACACAGAGAGACCTGCAGGAATTAGCATACAGTGTTTGGGTTGTTTTCAGAGAAATAAAACATGTTGGTTAAACACCAGATTTTTGCAACAAAACTAACCAATAAACAAAGACAAAAACAGAAAGATCATGTGCATTTCCTCTGAAGAAGTGAGGAAAAGGCAGTATAAAAATGTTGTCCTTTTCTTTGTATATTCACAAATATCCACGATAATAACTTTCAGAGCTCAAAGAAATACGGGCAATTAAAGCTAGTTCTTTTATATGAGAGCTAAAATTCCCTTTCAGCACTGAGCAAACCAGTAAAAGTGCCAGAAATCAGAATAAATTTCCAAAATGCTTAAGTACAACTGAAAAATTCATATTGTGGGATTTCTTCATTTGATTTGTTTTGGTAAATCACTCTAAAGAACATTGTGCTAGTTAGTATATCACATACAACAATCATCTTAGTGACCCAGTGATCTGAGTACTTTGTCTTGCTTTAGTTGAGTAAAGTCCCAAGTAGCTAACTAGGTTCCCTTGTCTTTTTCACTCTGGGATTAATGCAGCAGAGAGTACTCTAAGCAGAACAAGTTCCCAAAAGTGAGTGAATGCAAAATTTAGCTTAATTTGACTTCCTTTACTTTTGTCTTTTAAAAAAGTCAGAATTGGGGAATTGCAAATTTGCTATTTGGCACACTGCAAATATGACATTGCATCTAAACAAGCTTCCAAACACACAGCACTTAAAAAGGTGTTTAGAAATTAAAATTTATTTATGTCCCCAGTTAGGGGGCTGCATCACTCAGAGGAATATGAATGAAACATTGAACATAGGAATTGCAAAGGCAAAATAGGCAGAAAGTCTATTATATGTGAATGCTTTGCTAAATCCTGTACCAGGTTACAAGTCAATGTTCCATCTTATCCCCCAGTAAGGAGATTTCCATCCATTTTTGTTTCCTTATGCGCAGATTACCTCCAAAAGCTACCACCCAGTTCACTAGATGTTTGCACAGTTGCTCCTTTATTACTCTTCCTTGATTTTTAATCCCGGAGTCAGTTTTTCTCTGTGTACACAAAAGGCAGAAGTTTGTTTCCCAGGAGCATGAACAGGTGCTTTTAACCGCTTTAGAACCTGCAGTCGCTGTGGTGAAGGCACCTGGGAAAAGGTAATGTATCTCCCAACACTGGAATTCTGCAATTCCCACCATGGGCTTGACCCTCCTATGAGTGTCTTATGGAGCATCCATCACTCAGCTTCAGAGCAGGTGACCCCAGGTACTCCCACCCTCCTCTATTTCAGCATCATTCCTGGCTATGGAGCGTGAGAAGGGCTCACACTTCTGTTTGCTGTAGGAGAGGGGCAAAATAAGACTACCTCCACTCACTTGTCTATGAGCTAAATACACCAGTCACAGAGTCCAAGCCACCCAGAACAGAGTTCAGCTCTTACCTGTTCTGCTTTCTGTCCTTCTCAGGCCCAAGCTGAGGTAGGTGCTCATCTGAGACCCCGGCATTTATGCAGAGCTAATATAGTGGTAGCAAGGGGTCAAAGGTCCTGCTTTGTTTCCCCATTTGCTCTTTTGCAAGCACATCCAGCTCAGTGGGACAGGCAAGAAGCTGTGGAGGACTCTGGACCTGTTACTGAGATTTGGTAATGGAGGGTCAGTCTGACCTGAGCCCAAGAGATGTGGAAGGCAGCTTCTGGGTCACTGAGCCCCCTAGTTTTGCAGGCAATCATGTCATAGAGGCCCCTTTCATAAACTGACCAAACTCCACATTAATAGCAGCTATAGCTGGACTAATTTTGCTCCCATTCTTCCTGTGCTCTAACTCCACTGCTCTGACTGCTAGCACTTACCTGCAGGTGTTGCACCAGTTTCCTCTCCATTTACAGCAAATGCATTAACCAAATGCATTAACAGAGGTGTGCACCCCTCTCACTCTCCTTTCCCCATGACTGACTCTTTTTGCACAGGCTGAGTATATCAGAATACACCTGAGACAGCTGTCAAAACTATGGGTTGGACTCCATGATCTTTAAGGTCTCCTCCAACCTAGTCATTCTGTGAATTCTGTGAACTTACCAGGAGGAGCATCCAGCTACAGGATCCCCAGCCCAAGAAACACAGAGCCATTAGAGCGGATCCAGAGAGGCACAAAAAATGATCATGAGGTTGGAACACCTTTCCCATGGGGAAAGGCTGAAAGAACTGGGGTTGTTCAGCCTGGAGAGAAGGCACCAGGGAGATCTTATTGCAGCTTTTCAATACTTAAAGGCTTCTTATAAGAAACACAAGGACTCAACCAAGGCTTGTATTGACAGGAGAAAGGGAAACATTTAAATTGAGAGGGTAGATTTAGACTGGAAGCAAGGAAGAATTCTTTACTGTGAGGGTAGTGAGCCACTGGAACAACTTGTTCGGAGAAGTTATGGACACTGGAAGTACTCGAGGCCAGGTTGGATGGGGCTTTCAGCAACATGGTCTAGTGGAAAGTATCCCTGCCTAAGGCAGGGGCAGGGTGGTTGAGATGATCTTGTAAGGTCCCTTCCAACACAAACCATTCTTAAGATGCTATGGTAACATCTCCCAAGGCTCCCCAGTCCCAGTCAGAAAGTGGCTGCATTGCTGCTGTAGGGAATGTTTTCCCATAGCTTGTTTCCAAGTGCCCCTTGGGTCTCCAGTAGGTCCTGTCACCCGTGTTTGGCACATGTAGACAGGGGCGAGAGACAGAAAGGCTGCAACACTGAGCTACAAAGGGCATCAGCTGGGGAAATGGGAGGACAGAAATTAAGCCTACTGTGAGACCCCGAACAGATTTCCATCCTTATGTTGACCACTTATTTATTAGGTGACTCTCACATGTGGGAAGTGCAAAAAGCTCAACCTGTACCTTAATTTATCAACCAAACAAGACTTCTAGAGGACTTTTCCTCTCATGGTGCTCCAAATGCTTTAGAACCAAACAGTAAGGGTTCTCATTTTACAGATATGGTAGCCAAGCTACAATGAGTCACATAATCGAAGAGGGCTGCCAGTGGTTTCCAGACATTTTTCCATTCTCTAGGTATTTATCCAAATGATCTTTTTTCTTAGAAAAACAAAACAAAAAAAAAGTGTCCCAAAATAAGAGAAAAAAAATCCCACATACAAGCAAATAATTTTGCATTTTTGTCTGAAAAAAACCCCCAAAACAACAAAAGATTCTTACTGATGTGTAAAAAGGTTAACTCAAGAAATAAGAATAGACACTTTTCAGTTCCACTTCTGGTACAAACACTAAAAAGCAATTTATGGCCTAGGAAGAACACACCAGAGCCACTGGTTGAAAGTTATATTGTATTTCAATTATACATTTTACAGTCATTGAAGAGAATCTATATTTATAATATTCTTTTACAGCTGGAATAACATTTAGAAGATCAGCACAAGGGATATCATAGGCATTACACTTAGCAAAAACAGGAATGAGCAGTCATTAATTGGAGGGGTCAGTTTAAGATAACTTCAAGTGTAATTTCTTTCTTATGTCAGGTCAACAAATGGGATGTTCTGAGTGGGTGTTTTAAACTGATGTGCTGCAGGAGGTAGTAACAGAAGGGACTTAGCTGCCCTGTGTGGTGATTCATGCTGCTGCAGAGCTTTGCATTGTGGCTGTTATCACACAAAGCAAGTTCCCCGGCCCTGAAGTCAGCCTAACTTTAGGCAGTGCTACTATGAATACAATCCCAGAGATAGCAACTGGGTATTTCAGCACTTTCTAGTGCCAAATGCGCAGTTGCCAAGACCAGATCAATGATTGCACAGAAGCAGCCTTGCCCCCCATTCCTGGAATGGCATTCCAGAATGGCAGGGTGCTCTGCAAATAAGCAAGAAAGCCAGATATTGCAAGTATTTTCTTAATCAAAGAAAAATTACATGATTCTTTATCTCTCTTATGCATCTCTGGTCTGAGGTAGAAAGCAGCTGACTGTAGCATGGGTGACCTTATCTGGCCCTGTGTGGCCTGTCGCTCACTCATTACATTATTTTAAATTAGGGAAACACTAGTGGCTATGAAGGCACTTTATCTGAGAAGATTCATTCTTTGGGGGTAAGGTATAGTCCTTGTTCTTTCACAAGAACAGAAAAACAAAAGTTTAGTATAGCAGTAACTCCCATATGTAAAATATTCAACTTTTTCCATTACGATTGAGGTGACATATGAACATCAGCTTTCTGGAATGGCTAAAAAATGAATCATGAATAAATTGCAATGTAGAAAGAATGAAGCTAGGATATTTCCTACTGTTATTTCTTTCAGTGTGCTGTATTGGAGGTGCTCAGTTCTCTCTCTCTCTTAAAAAGGCAAAGACCCTGTGATCTTACTGGAAAAGGGTCCACATTGTATTGTGCAATGCTGCCACAATGGGCTTCATTTATAGCCAATTAAAATCAGAAACAAGCATCTAAAGCTGAGCCTATTTCCTTCCCACTTTCTGTCCGATTGTAGCTCTAAAGCATGCAAAGACAGATTTCCTTTGTTGTTATTTCACAGCCCACCAACTGGTGCTTTATGAACCACAGTGGTTTGCAGACCAGTAAGCCTGGTATCATTTCTGCTTCCCTGCAGGATCACCCAACCTACTCCTGCCACAATTTAAGAAATTACAGAATTAACACAGAGATACAATCAATTTTCCCTGAAGAGTTTTGTTTAATGTTTCTATAAACATGAACAAAGCGACTGAAGAGGGAATCCAGTATGATATAGATAAAACCTCTCACATTTCACAATTTGTGAATTGTGTTCACAACCTACAATTAGTCACCCTAGCTCAATGATGGGGACTAGAGGAAAAAATAAAGATGGAGGGCTCCTTCATAGGTGTAGATTAGGAAGCACCACTGCTGTTAGCGTGCTCATACTCCAGCAGCTGCAGCAGCTGCTCCTGTTACAGAGAGAGTCATCTTGGTTTTCTTGCAGTGCAAGCAGCTGCTTGCTCTTGGGAAAACTTGCTGGATATGTGTTGGCTTGTACACATTTGAATGTGAAGGAGAGTGAACTCCTTCCATGCAACCATCTCGGGATCTCACCACAGGTCTCAAATAGCCTCAACTCTTTGATGGAGAAAGGGGCAGCCCTTTCCTGAAACCTGGACATTTGGCCTAGGACAGGAAAAAGTTCCGTTGCATGATGTATGAACCTACTGGAGGCACAAGAAGAGAGTCAAATTCCAAGTAACCAATTCAGCTTCCAAGGGTAGAATCTGCAGGGCCCTGGCTATCTGCTAAAAGTCAGCAGAAGGTAAAGCTAATGTCAAAACTGGTTGCTAGTTTTGAAGAAGCAGCCCCATATAATTTTCTGTCATTGCAGTCATCATAAATGTCTCTTAACTAATAAAAATACCAGTTCATCATACAAAAAGGTAGTTAATAAAATCCTAAGCACGTCATAAAATTAGAAAAAAATGATCCACAGCAGTGGCTGATAAATTCAAGAATGATCCTAGCTTTGCAAGTTCTGCAAACACAATTCCCTATATTTCAAATGTGACTCATGGGTCAATTCACATTGTCCAGTCTGGACCTAAATGCAGACAAGTACTATGCTAATTATAGCCCTTCTTTCTTGAATTCAAACATTGGAGTTACTCTTTTAGCTCTTTTTAAAAAAGAAATTGTGATAGCCATCAGCTGTGGGCAAAGAGACCCTCTGCCTTCAAAAACTGGGCCTCCAGTGCTGAAACAAAGTCAACCAGAGAAGCTCCTTGGTCCTTCTGCTTTATCTCCATAGGCAGGAATTATGAATAAGCATGTTCAGCCAAGAAACTGTAGGAAGATGAATTGAACACCCTGGAGTAGCCCTGTGTTGACCAGCAACTGCATTGGATATCCAATTAGGATCATTTGTTCAAAGTGTGATGTTTCCCATCATTGTCCAAAGAAAAGAAAAAAAAGGAGGTGGACAAAGTGAAAGCCTCTCCAAGTTTTCCAGAAAAAAAGTATAAGCACATCAGTAATTAGGACATTAAAGAACAAACAGTAGCAGGAGTCCATGTGGCACGGGCTGGGAAATAAGCTAGACAAGACAGTCATTGGTACTGGCCAATCTTCAGTGCCTCTGGGTTACAAAATAATTCACAAGATTCTCCAAAAGCTCCTTGCCAAACTGGAGTCTCTTAAATCCAGGAAGTGCCTCTGGCAAGACAGTTTCTCCTGGAAACAGCCAGCATCCACAGAGCTTCTCTTTCTCTAGCACATTTTAAATTAGAACAGTGGATTAATCTCATCAAGGAGAAATGACAAGTCCTCCTTCACAACTGGTCTCAAAGCACAGAGAAATTCTGTGTTCTAGTCAGGGTGAGAACTGAGGAAACCCTACAATCCACTTCCAGATCAGATGCACCACACATGCAGGGTTGGTGTGTCAGGGTAAAGATCAAGGACAGTAGTAAAAATGGTGACTATAAGACTTCTTCAGAGTCCTTTATCCCACCCCA